GCTCCAATTATGATTTCCATATCCGCTCCACATTTGGTTCAGAAATAGCTCCAATTATGATTTTCGTATGTGCCCAGAAATGGATGGTTTGTAAGTAAATCTTCAAAAATATTAATTAAATTGCACATAAAAAATGTGTAAGGGATTGATCTTAATGAAATCTAACGTTTTAGAAGAAAAAGTAGACAAAAGAAGGGCCGACCGATAGAAAATCATGAGGTCCAATTATCTAACCAAGTGAAGTTGTCAACCCGAAGCGAGACATACCAATGATGATCAGAAGGTACAAAAACGAGACATTTAGACAGAAACGAAAAAAAAGGCATCCCGACTACCTGTCTCAGGAGAGTCGATTAAGAGAAGATTTAGTTCCCTAACCCTTCCAACCCTCTTAGAGACATCCAGAGCCCCGCATCAAGGGTCCGGGATCAAATATTAAGCCATATCAACTAGCCAATCAATATCGACTAAACTCAACGAAACTGAGGTTGCCAACCCGAAGCCATTTAAGTTTATTTGGTCAACCAAAGAGCAATCAGACAATAAACTCATATATGTAAAATACTAGAAATATCCTAGTGCAGATCCCATTAAAGTATGAGCAAAAATATAGCATCACAATATTCTACCTTCTTCTCTATAAGCAGGGGAACAATTTTATGAATAAGACAAAATGTATTACTGTTCATTACTATTCACTCATCTTTCTATCTCTCACTCTCCTTATTTGCTCTCTTTACTTATGCTCTATTTCTTAAGTGTGATTTACAGACAAATCAGAATTTAATATAAATAATTTGGAGAAAGAATTATAAATTAATCATCTGTAGGAGTTAGCCAACAAATTTGGTGGATAGAGTTTGGAAAATTGTTGACTAGTCTGGAATTTTAATCTTATTTTTATATTCACATGCATGCCTAAAAATTGACGTTTGGATTGATTTATTTATAAGAAATTGATAACCAAGGTTGAAACTTCCTGATGCAGTCACGTGCCAAAAAAGTGATCAAACCTTCTAGTTGCTAATTGAGAAATGTATTCTTAATCTCAATCAATCACCCATATTTTTGTTAATTTTAGCATATTGCCCAAAACATAATTTCATAAACCTTAATATGTTAAGGATGAATATAAATAGACAAAAAAAGAAGAAGTTTAACTTACAACTAAGATGGCCTTCACATGATCTATGTTGCTCAAAAAACCTCCATGGCGAACTGCATCCTTATGTAGCCTTAACAATACATTTACGAAATCATTATGCTCCTCACCGCCATCCATGGTGCTAGCTTCGTTCCCCTCTTCTTTTTCTCGACTTATAAGATGTTCCTGAATAATTCTACCAAAAAACTTATCCATCTCTTCAAAGTTCTTTTCCAGCCTCCCATGAAAGCCCCTCAAACGATCAACCCAACCCATGATAGGAAAGAAATCTGCTGCGCAAAAGCCGCCGAGTAAACTTTGGGTCTCAGAGAGGAGCTGATGAACGGATACCCCTCCTTTTCCACTGTATCCACCATCTCCGAAGTCATCACCAAGCGCCGCTCGACAGATCACACTATTTGTCAATGAAAGTGTTAGCTCGCTTAAGTTAGCTACCGGGAGATCATTGATGGTGGCCATAAGCTTCTCCACTTCTTCCCTCCGCACTACTTCAAAAGATCGAACACGACGAGGATTAAGAAGCTCAAACATAGCAATCTTGCGAGCTTGGCGCCACTGATCATTATGAGGGGCAAAGGCGATGCTTGAACAATTGTACAAGAGCTTCTTTGGTGTGATGAGTTGAGGGCGGCCAGAGAAGGTGAGGTCGTGGTTGGTGAAAATCTCCTCGGCTATGTCGCGAGACGAGATGACTAAGGTGGGGATGGAGCCAAGTTGGAGGAATATAAGAGGGCCATGTTTATTTGAGAGGTTCAGGAGGGAGAGGTGAGGTTTTTGGGGATCGAGAAGATGGAGGTTGCCGAGGATAGGAAGGGGCCATGGACCTGGTGGGATCTTCTTCCTTCGCTCTGCTTCACTAAGTTTTGCTAAGAAAGGGAGAAAAAGGGAGAAAACGAGGAAGAGAGGGAAAAGAAAGAGGAAGGCTTGTTCCATGGCCATATCCTAACTAAGATGCAAGTTAACACTATGAGATTTGGCTGAATATATATATTTTGGAAGGCTTTTGGCAGAATAAATTATACTACTTTATGTAAAATCTCAAAGATGTTAAATTAATTATAAATATTACAGCTATGAAAATTGAATATGTGTCTCATTCGTTCATTTTTTCCCCATAAGTTTAGAAGGCCCTTAAATATAAACAAAGGGTGATTACACGATCAAATGCACTCATTTAAATTTGATAAAGAAAAATCAGCTAAAATTTCTCATAAAAATTCTATGTGTAAATCTTCTCCAAATTTTTAAGAGAAAATTATAATTGAAAAAGATTTATTATTATTATTATTATTTTCACTTTTTTTTTTCTATTTTTAGCATGACTTAATCAAATTGTAAATGATATCACTGATGAAAGAGCCTTAATCAAATTTCAATCAAGTTTCATGAAGAACTCGTTTGCAAATTTTAATAGGCATTGTTCATGAACGTAAGCAAATTGAATACAAACTCTTCAAGGTTGTTCATTTAACAATGCTATTAATTAAAAAAGTTTTCAAATTTTCTTAGTTAGTTATTCAAACAATTATGAATGCGGTTTAATTAGGTCGAGCTATGGGTAATTTGTCAAATGCATGAATTATTTGTGGTCCTACTTTTAAGTGTATGATTTAGGAAATATTACATCAAGAGTCATGATGCAAAATTGTATCAGGACTCAAATCTCAATAAGCCACGTGTATTGTCTCACCCCACTGAATACAAAAAACTAAATTGTTTAATGTATGATAGAGTCGAACCGTACACGTGACACATTGTGATTGAAATCCTGATGCAGTTTTACATCAAGACTTCTTATATAATATTTTTTTTTCATGATTTAGACACATTTAGTGTATGGTCTTGAAACTTTTAAAAATGTTGTGGCTTTTAAGCTTAAAAATAAGAAAATTTTGAATTTATATTTATAATTCTTTAAAATAATAGCATTAATTTTAAAATTAGTTAAATTATTCTTATTTATTAAAATTTGAAAAATTATTATTAATCCTTATTCTTAATATATAAGATTTAATAAGTTGATTAAAATTCTAATGCTGATCAGTAACTTGCCCCGTAGGGCTCTCCCCTTAAATCCGCCTCTGATTGCATTTAATATAAATGCTGATCAATAACTCTATTAGACCACTTGGGACCGTAGTTTGCTAGTTACAGTGCAATAACTAGTATCACCCACTAAGATATCATGACGGATGATATACCTAAAATATATAGTGTTTTTAGACACATTTTTATACATATTTTTGAGATATTGCGCTTTAATAGAATGTATTTGTGCGTTTTTCTTTCAGGTACAAGTAAAAAGATGAGAAATGATAAAAGGAGTGAAAAATGATAAAATTTGGAGCAAAAATGTGAAAATAGTGCAAAAGTATTTTGGCGCCTAAGCGCGTTTTGGCACCTAAGCGTCAGTGTAACAGAGAAGGCCGCGCCTAAGCTCCAGAGGTCCCACGCTTAAGCACCAGAGGCAGTTATGTGACGAAACCGGCGCTTAAGCGCCAGTGTAACAGAAAAGGCCGCGCCTAAGCGCCAGAGGTCCCGCGCTTAACTATTGGCTAAAGTGGGTGTTTATGACCACTAAAAACAAAAATATGATTAAAGGACTTGTGAAAGGAGTTGGATAGTTTAATTCATTTTACCAAATTTTGAAGGGATTGGGACACATTTGAAGAGTTACCAAAGCACCTCTTGGAGATTTATATAGGAAGGAAGTTGAGACTTTTTGAAGTGTGCTTGGAAAGGGAGAGCCTTGAGAAGTTCTTGAAGAATTTCGGGGAGGAATGTTTGTAGAGATTTTCAAGCACCACACAAAAATTTGCTTTATTCTTTTTGTTTTTAGTTTTATTATGAGAGTTAAGAGTGTTGTAAAAGAGAAGAGATTCAAAGGAACTTCAAGAGTTTGGTGGATGATTTGAGATAAGTTTTTATCTTTTATTTTTAAACTACTTTTGGTTTTAATCGAGAGTTCTTGTTGGTTTGACAATGATTACTACTTTTAAACTAAAGTATGGTTTTGTTTTCTCCATAGATTTTGAGTAGTTTTTTTATCTTTCTTCTTAAAATGATAAGTAATTAAAGTATTGGATGGAAGTTGTGGAGAGTATTGATCTTTAATGTTGGAAGAAGTTGTGATTATTTAATTTCATGCACTTCATTTACTTCTTGATTTGGCATATCTAGATATTAAAATTTGTTGTGAGAATATATAAGAACCGGACTGGTATTGTCTCAGTCAACAATCAGAAAGAATCACATGTGATTGTATGAATGAGAATATAATTCATATGAATTAGTGCAAATAAATAGAGAAATAATCTTTAAAAGATGTAGAGCTATAGGACTTTAAAGTGACAGGTTAAAGCCCCCAAATTGGTTTATGGTTTTAGGTTCTGATATGAGATGTTAGCACCCAAATGGAGGAAATCAATAGAACTCTATAGTGAAAGCTAGTATCTTCCCTGCTTAGCTGGTCTTCAAAACTATTCAAACTTTAAATTATTCAATGTTCTTTATAGCATCTCTAGTAAGGGTAAAGAATAATATTGCTCCTATTTGACACAGCACAATTTTCATACTTTCACAACAAAAATCCTATACTTATTACTGATTTATGATAAGGAGAAACATATTTTAATATTAAGTGTTTTTTTATTACATAAACTCGAGTTATCTTCAGAAGTTATTACTGTTTTGTCAAAATCTCAAAAATACCCAAAAATATTTGAATTTTAATTTCTATAAAAATATTTTTAGTTTAAGTAATTGCCTGTTTTAAATAGAAAGCTTGTTGATCAATAGTGCATATTGTAAATTTTCCCTTTAGGTTCGATATTCAGTTTATAATCAAAAAGTCCTATATTACTTGATAACGATACGTATACTTGAGTAATATCCCAATATATATATATA